AGTCTGGCCCTCCCCCCCCTAACATTAGAGCCATCCGAAAAATTGTCATTAGGGATCCTCAATACGGCCCCCTGAGCTCCCACGGTTCTGAGGTCCCTGTAGATTGATTTAAAAGGGATTGTTGAGAATCCTTCCTGTATTTTTAGGGCCCCAAAATCAACACGTTATAGGGGACCTCAACAATAAACAGGGTCCGACGTCAGGTCTGTCCGGTGGCCGGGCCCCAGCATTTCAACGCATATGCATGACGGTGCCAGGTGCTGTGAGCATGCTTCCCAAGTAGTTGCTTGATGACATACCACCAAATGCTTTCACAATTTTTCTGAGGTGCGCTACCTTTCGAAACAGATGTCAGCCTCCAAGGGCTTGGAAGAGGCCAGAGGCAGCCCCGCCACAGTCAACCAGCAGCCAGCGTCCTCAGGGCTTCCGGACGCTCAGCTGGCTCAATGCTCCGAATTGCAGTCCCGTGGCGCTTGTCGCGGCGGCGGCTCAAGTCCAAAAGCCAGCGGAAAGCTACCTGAGATTGTCCGACGTGCTACTCACGTCTTTGGAACTTGGCGACGCTTGATGTTGAGTTTGCAGAACTGCTACAAAGGCCCTGATGGGAACAGTCTATGTGAATCCCGTCGCAGCGTTCAGACTGTGCCAAACAAGCTGCTCGAAGCAACGCTCCCGTAGCATTCTGGTCAACTGAATCGCTGCTTGGAGCTGCCTCTTGTGAAGTTAAAGGGCAGTGCACAGGGAGCAAAATACGAGGACTGGGAGTTTGCATTTAGACCGCTGGGTGAGGTCCTGTCAGTCAACCAGCCTTGTGGGCAGCAAGTCGATCACGCAGCTTGGATGCTACGTCGGCGTAGAAAAGCATCCAGAAGTGGCTCTCATGCCACTCGAAGACCTCCAAGCTGAACATGCTTGGGCAGAAGCTGCTCGTAGAGATGCTTCGTTCACACACACGTTGCTGCCGCTGCGCCAACAATCAGGACAATGATGTCTGCAAGCCTTGCTGGCAGACAGGCCACTCCACAAAGTCTCCTGACAGCGCGCTACTGCATGGACAATGGGCACCCAATGAGCTGAATTGTTGTCATCTTGGACACAGGTTGCTGTGGGGGTGAAGGCCCACCTCATCCAAGCCCCTGGTGGCTACCATGATCTTTGCCATTGCTAGGTCAGCTGGGAAGCCTTTGGCACCTGTCAGCTTTGACAAGAAACACGTCAATCCTGCGTCTGGAAGCAGAGCGCCTTGAGGACTGCCAAGAGCGATGTTTTGGAAATAGCGCCAACGATCAGCCTGCAAGGCTTTCAAACTGTACTCACCCTTTTGCCTGCGGCCACACCATCATGTTGGAGTTGATGATGCGGTCTTTCCTCTTCTTGTTGTTGATGTCAAAGCTACACAAGCTTCATACTAGTAGAAATGTTTTCGCACTACCAGACACGGTATTGAATAAGTTCGAGATGACACTGAGAGAAGGTTTACAAGCCCGTCTGCACAAAAACAGACCAATCCGCAAGTGACAAAACCGTTTGATTACGAGCTTGATTGTGCAGCTGTTCCGCAGCACACTGCCGTGAACAAAGATTGCTTGCTCATCCTGGCGAATTTGCCACGCCTTGGTAATCTCGTGCCGCAGAATATGTGCCAGCCTGCAATCAGAAAGCCGATCTATCTTTGCAAGACTCTGTGGAGTCATGAAAATGTTTTTTGCCTTGGGATGCTGCTGGTTGGCAAGAAGATGGCCATCTCCCTCCAGGGCAGCAGCCTGCAGTTTGTAAGCGCGCCCCCCTCTGCTGGGGATTGTTGCGTCCATCCGCGTTGAGTAGGGCGCAGTCTACTGCGAAAGGCCGTGAGCGGGGAAAAGTGGCAAGCAGGCTGTCAGACTTGCATAACGCGAGGTATGCCTGTCCAACGGAGCTTGGAAGTCATCAGACACGATGACCGGGACGCAACCATGTGCCATCACGTCCTGGGCCCAAGGGCGAAACTGTGATTCTTGCTGAAGAGCAAAGAAAGCAAAAGAAAGAGCACGCGTGTCAGCAAAGTGTCGTATAGTCGAACGTTGTTCGTGTGCGAGGATCCTAGCACGGGTCAGGTGTCTTTCGCTACCGCCTATGACCCATTGCATAGAAGGCCAAGGTGAAAGCTCCAAGAACAATGACTTTATGCAATCACTGCGGGTTGCCACAGCATTTTATGACTCTGATGCAACTTCTGGTGAGTCTGGTGTCCTCGCAGGACGAAGCAGAACCGAGCTCGCCACATGCGCTCGCGGTAGTCCTGGTCGTCTTGGGCAAAGCTAGTAGAAACATCCTTGGCAAGCAAAACAACAGGCAGAATCGTTCATACTACTCCAAACCGGCCGAACCGATGCACGAAGTTGCTGGATTCTTGTTTCCGCTGAGCATCGAAACCAGGCTCCGCCGCAAGTGCCTCGAGTAGCCTGCACGGCGGCTGGACTATCGAAAATGAGGAGCTCAGGTTAGTGGGAGCATGCGCTGATGAAAAGGCGTTACGACTTCACTTGGGGGACGACTCTGGTTTGTGGCCTGGGCCGCAGGCGGTATTTTCGCGATATTTTGAATCCGCAGCCCCTCATCTCGTTCGCGTTGCTTCGATTTTATCTGGTCCTGGAGCCTACATTGACAAAATCTCGTCTGCCATGTTGGGTGGGTAGGGGATCTCAAAAAAATCATCAGTATCAAAGTAAAATCTCGGGGATCAAAAGAAGATTTAACAAGCGTCAAAAACAAATTAGAATTGATGATTTGCAGTGCCTGAATACTGTACCTGGTACGATTCGGAGTATCAAAACAGAAAATAAATAAGGATCAACAAAATGAGAATCTATGAACAGCCACGGCGAGACATGAAAATGATGAGAGCAACCGTTGACAAGTTATGAAAATTTTGTGAAAATCGTGAACATATGACGAAAAATAATGAAAATAGATGAAAATAATGAAAAATGATTGCCATCATGAAGAAGATCAACAACCATGAAAATGATGAAATTCATGAAATGATGAAAAATGATAGACAATGATGAAACATTATGGAAATGATAAACAGTCATGACAATGACGAAGAATGATGAAACATGATGGAAAACTGATTGAAAATTGTGGAACATGGAAGATGAGGAAACTGGATGAAAACATAACGAAATTTGATGAACCATGATGGAAATCATGAAAAAATGATGGAGACTGTTGAAATATGATCAAAAAAAGAGGAACGATGATAAATCATGAACTGATGAAAATAGTGATAAATCACTTCATGATGAAAAATAATGAAAAAGGAAGCAAACATTCACAGCTATTGAAACATATGAAAATGATGGAGCAGATGAAAAATGAAGTTGATGACACATGATGGTAAATCAAACAAAACATGCAAATCATCAAAACCATGATGGACAATATCAGAAATAATGGAACTTATGAATACTAGTTCAAAAAACAACGAAAAAGGGAACATCATGACAAATGCTTGCGCGAGTGTACTTTGTGAAGTTATAGCCGGGGGGGGGGGGTGCGGGGGGTGTAGCCTCCCCCACTGAAAAAAACCTGGACAAAGATTAGCACCTTGGGCTTTCTTTCGCCGCTTTAGCTCTGGCAATGTCATGTGATGAATGATGCGAAGGGGATGAATATCAACAAAAGGATGAGAATGATGAAGACACATGAGAATTCACGAAGAAACAAAATAATGATGAAAATGATGAACAATCTTAACATGATGAAGCAAAATTGATCATTGCCGCGCAATGCAAATGCAAGTGCGCATGAGTTCTCGGCATACCCAACACCTTGAGCCCAGACCAAATCTAGCTCGAGGCTGGGAAGGCGAACTTCCTACTCTGAGGGTTGAAAAATCGACGACAGTACGAGGATCCCGACCCCGACCCCCACGATCCCTGTGAGACTTTTCACACTCCAAGAGGATCCAAGGGTCCAAAAGCGACGACAGTTACGAGGGTCCTGACCCTGAGCCACACAATCCCTGTGACTGTTGACACTTTTCAAGCTCCACGAGGATCCAAGGGTCCGAAAGCAACGACAGTTACGAGGATCGCTGGGTTACATTTTCTGTGATCCCGAATAAATTTCTTCTTCATCCCAAATATTTTTCCTTGATCCTGAAGAATCTTTTGTTGATGCGCATCCCTGCCATGTTGGAATAGGTGCTGGGCTTTTGCTGCAAAGGAAACTACTGTATGGCCTATCTTGTTTAATCCGCGGCGCCTATCCAGTTCCCACAAAACGCTAAACTGAGATGCAAAAATACCAACGGGCCTCTTGCTTACTCTGATGATTGAAGCCGGCCTTTTTCTGGCACAGGAGTTTGGTGAGCCGGCAAAGAAGCCCAGCACGGTTCGCCCTGCAAAGAGGATGCACGCCAGGAGTCAGCTACTGGCATCACGATGCAGACTAATGCCACACAGCCGTCTGCAAAAGAATTGTATTGATAAACGACTCAATGAAACGTCTGCCCTAAAGATGCACAGGATGTCTCCTCCCTTCGCAAATGTGTGCGTCTTGCATCGGAGTTTAAGTACTGTACCCAAACGGGGGTTCCTCTTGAAACGACTCTTCTCAGAATGCTTGCGGTGGCCAGACCTCCAAAGCGCCGAGACCGTGGATCTGGAACGAACCTCAGCTGAAGGCGCCTGTTGCATACGTTATGTGACGATTGGCCGGGTGAAGGGGTTATGCGCTGGTTATGATTTCAGGTGTATCTGGGCAACCTGGAAGGAATGGAGATGACGGTGTCCTGCTCGTAGAAGCTTCCTCAGGAGCCGCAGGAACAGTGTGCGGTCCGAAGCTCCAAAATCCACAGGCTCTCTGCCACTAACCACACTGTGACCTGAATTAGAAGAGCTTAAACAAACTAAGATGTTGGGGTGAAATGGAAATCTAAGCGGGGTTTCCTGCAGAATCAAGCGGGTATCAACATGCAAGCTCCCATGGTGACTGATGCAAGCCTGGCAGCGAGCAGGGAACATTTCGTTGGCCAACGCAACTGGCTTCGTATCCTCCCGCAGTCAAGGGGGATTTGCAAGAATCAGTGGTACACGACTATAGAAGGGATTTGCTCTTGAGAAGCTCCACTGTCTGTGGCACCAAGCAGAAGAAGCAAACCTCCTCCCAGCAGCTGTCTGCAGTCTTCTCGTTGCTGCTGGTGTTGGGAGCCCCAAATAAGAATGCGCTCTTATGCAGCATCTTCTGGTCGATCGTCCAGGTAGGGCTCCTGTAGCTGGTGAGAAGTTGCACATGGAAAGGCAAACGTGTTCCGTGGTATTGAGTGACGACTGATGTTGTTTCGCGCTGCACGATGTCACAAACTTAAACCGGGTTTGGTCTAGGAAGAGTAGTTGGGTCCCCGATGTCCCCCCTGAGTTTTTCTTTTTTAATGTCAGTTGCAGGTTACTGGGTAAAAGTTCGCCGTGCCCCTGTTCATGGGTCTTTACCTGCTGAGAACTCCGGCGAGGGCGCTTGGAGACAAACTTGCTGCGAGTCAGATGCACCGGCGCATTCTCAACCTCATTGATGAACATGCCAATGCCGGTGCTCGGCAGTCTCAAGTTGTGAAAGTCGAGGGGCTGCTTGGGCGCCCTAGGTGTGCTGTTTGTTCTGAATACAAGCACAAGGGTCGTTTGGGTCGTTTGGCCCAGTACTGCAGCTGCCACTGCTGAACTACAGGCTTGTGCGGAGCAGCGCTTCACGCCGCCCTGTCCGGTGCCAAGGCTTCTGGACCCATCTTGATTAAGTTCCTTAGCCTGAAAAAGGCTGTGAAGAGTGCTCGGCAACATCCCGTTGCTCGCGGGTGGGTTGCCTTATCCGTGGTCGCCTTCTTGTTCCTATTGCATTGCAGTGTGTCGCCGATCCCTTGGTTGACCCCGATTTTTGATTTGACCTGACAGTTTCCCTTTGGCACTGCCAGACGGACACCGCAACGATAATAATGTTGCAAAACGGCTTGCTTGCGGGCGCTGTGTTTACGCAGAAGAAGCGTATGTACACCGGCAAGGTTGACAGTGCTGTTTGGCCCTTCTGTGGCGAGGGTGATGAGGACACGTGCCACATCCTTTGGTGTTGCCCGAAGTGGCACAGCGTTAGAGTCGCAAATGGTCTTGCTGAACTTGCCCGGCAGCACTGGCCACCGGTCATGCAGCTATGTGGGGTTTATGTCCCGGGAGCCCCGGAGGCTCCGCCTGCGCGCATGTGGGGTAAAATCCAGATAGCTTTGGCTCATGTCATTCAGATTCTGTATACTTACTTGAAAGAGAACGATCCTTATGATGTTTTGGAAAGGGACGAACACGATGGAGATGATGATGATGCTGCTGATGATGCTGCTGATGATGATGATGATGAGATTGATGAGATTGATGCTGCTCCTGCTGGCATTGCGTCGTGTCAACGACCAGTGCCCTCACCTCCGCAGTACTCATATGAGTTTCCCCTGCTTCGTCGCGACTGTCCGCCGGACAATTTCAGTAGTGTCTTTGCGTTGCGCGCCGTTGTTCCTGACTTTAAGGCTGCCAGCAACAATGCCTTCCATTGGGGTCCTGACGCATGGAAAGCCCTATACACCTATTGGACAGGTCGCCAGTACACTCCTGCTGATGTCAAATCGTGTACCACTTGGCCTGAAATCGCCCTTGACGCTGCCTTATGCTTTGGCACTCTTGCTCTCACGGGCAGCGATGACAAGCCTGATCTGCGCACGTTGCTGCGTATTGTTAAGCGTGCCTCTAAGCGTGTTGCGGCCATCGCGTGTTTCGAGCTTCCGTATGGTCCGGATTCGTGCAGGTTTCGTCCCCTGTGGATTCCTGCCGTTGAAGTCTTCGATCGGTGTGTGCGTCTTACTCACGATGATGAAGTTAATGCCTTGTTGCATGATTGGGGCATTTTGCCCTGCAACTGGAAGTTGAGGTCCCTGACTTAAAGCGCGCTTGGTCTAGGAACAGTAGTTGGGTCCCTAATGTCCCCCCTTCGGTGGCTTATGTCCGCCGTAGGTTGGTTGGCAAGAGTTCCCCGCCCGCCCCTATCCCCATGTTTCTGCCCGATGAGAACCCTGGAGAGGGCGCCTGGAAAGACAAACTTGCTGCGAGACAGATGCGCTGGCGCATTCTCAAGCTTGTTGACCAAAATGCCAGTGCCGTTGCTAGGCAAGCTCATGTTTTGAAAGTTGAGGGGCTGCTTGAGCGCCCTAGGTGTGCTGTTTGTTCTGAATTCAAACACAAGGGTCGGTGGGTTCGTTTGGCCACGACCAAGTGCCCGCAATTTAACAGTAAGAGCACTGCAGCTGCTGCTGAACAACTGGCTTGTGCTGCGCAGCGTATAGTTGAGCTTGACGCCGCCCTGCCCGGTGCCAAAGCTTCTAGGCCCAGCTTGATTAAGTCCCTTAGCCTGAAAAAGGCTGCGCAGAGCAAACGGCAAAAGTAGACCCGCTGCTCGCGAGTGAGTTGCCTTGTCAGTTTTGGGCGCCCTCTTGGGCCTATTGCATTGCAGTGTGTTGCCGATTTTTCGGTTGGCCCCTTTTCTTGGACCTGACAGTTTCCCTTTGGCACCGTCAGCAGGACACCGCAACAACAATAACGTTGTAAACAGCCGCTAAATGAAGCGATAGACCCTGCAACGCCAGCCCGCAAAATGGCCTTCGACAACCAAGCCCCCCCGCCCGTGCATGGTCCCTGTCAGGGATCCAACGCTCCACGGCTGCAGCCATGCTGCGCTGCGCGGAAAGTCCTGCAGCGCTTTGAGCTTGGGAGCCGTCTGCAAAGCCTGGCTGGGCCTACCTACCCAGCGTGCAACGTCGGAAATCCTGGCGGCCCAAGTCCATGGAAAAGACGGTCCAGAAGTTCACCCCGCCGTTCCTTTCCAAAGCATTGCGAGAGTCCAGCAGAAAAACGTCGGAACTGTGCTGGGGATTGCAGGTGCCTTGACTACGTACTTGGAACCTTGGCTGATCCAAGCTGCGCACGATGAACTGGAGAGGCGTGTGCCCATCGGAGGACAGGCACCAAATAGCCTCAAAGAACAGTACAGCGAATCCGTACAGCTGAATTTAAAGCGAATATGTTACACATAAGTGAGGCCGTGGAAGCTTCAGACAAGGCAGCTTGAAACATCAAGCCCAGTTGCCAAGCTCAGCCCGCTCGATGGCCTGCAAAGGGAGCCAGCAGGCTACGACAGGCTACGGCCTAGTGTTTCCACATGCTTCCACGCAGTCCAAGCAGCCTGCCAGTGCGTGAGATTGTAGCTCTGCCGCAGAGCGAAGTAGAGCTGCGACACACATTGCGGGAAGTAAATGAACTCTGCCTGGCATGACCATGTGCTCTCTAAAGATGACTAATAGGTAGCAGGCCAAATCGCCTTTTCAACCGATTCGGCCAGGTATTGACGGCTCTCCTTGCAAGACAGCAACAATGCTTGGCCATGAATCATCAAAACATCATGATCTTTTTTCTTCCAGTGCATGCATGGGGCACGAAGCATTTGAATGAAATACCACTCCATTGAGTACTGGTAGCCATTGTACCTTGTCGGGGCGCGCCGAAAAGTCAATCTTGGGAGCTTCCGGTTCTGTAAGTTTCAATGAGCTATAGCAAGCGTTCGTAGAATATGTTTGCGATGTATTTACACTTTACATCTTGACCGCCTCTGGGGGCCTTGATTGAGTAAGTGGCACGAATCCAAAGGTACATGCGGCCGAGGTCAGAAGATGTCCAAGAAGCCAAGCCACTCACACTCAACAAACTCGTCCAGACCGTGGATACACTCAGAATTCCATGTGCCTGTGTCCTCGCGCAACAACAGAACATGATTCGGGAGATGGACGCGCTAGTGCGGACTGAACCAAGAAACCAACATCATGCATCCTCAGCTTTGGTACGTCAACCCAAGGCTAAGTCTAAGCGCTAACAGTTGCTGCACCGCAGCCAGCGCATCCTTGTAACGGCATTTCGATTTGGGAATCTCCTCAGATACTTGTAAAGATGCTTCTGCTGACCTCTCTTGCTTTTCGGGCGTAGCCCACCTCAGCCCATCTGTTCGAATCAGTTTTGCTGCCGGGAGTTGTCGATGAACTACGCGGATGTTTCAGCAGCTTTTGGGGAAGATCAGGTCGCTATGTTTGCCTGCCGTTGCTCAGACACACTCAAGCCAAGTGACAAGAAGAGCAAATCTGCCATACAGTGCCTGCAGCAGTTAATGTTGGAGGTGCTGCGCACATCAAACTCTGAGCCATCCAGCCTGAACAAATCTTAGCTTAAACAAATGCAACGTGCCTGGATGCTTGAAGCGTCCAGTGGCACGAAGAATGCGCTGGTTGCGGAAAATGCAAGGGCAGACAGCAGAAGCGGCCATCCGTGAATGCCCATGCGCGAAGGAAGAAGTACTTTGCTGCTCGGTGGCTTCTCTGCCGCATGTTTTAGGTGCTTTCTTTGAGAAATCCTGCTATCACTCCACGGTGCCTGTCTAGATTTCCTCTTGTCGTGCAGTCATGCCAGTTGCCATAGATGAACAGGTTAAGGCTTTTGTTGCGCTGTTGCAGCGCATGTCCGCAATTTAGCTCTGAACAGAAATGAAGCCATACAGTCCCTCAGGCAAATGCAAACAGACTAGTTCACATACTCAGGTCATCTCACGATGTCTCAGGCACACCCATGTCAGTTGCCATGGGCCTCTCCGCCATTGGTCCTTCTGCTTGGTGCCATTACCGATCTGCAACCTGACAGGGCCGGGGAGGCACTGGGCCCGCCATGTCACCGTGTGCCAGCATCTGCCGTGCATGAAGGTGGCCGATGCTGGCCGTGAAGGCGTCGAAAAGCATGTCGACGTGGACTTCGATGGTCAGGCCCTAGCTGGCACTGCTCCCGAGCACACCAGGTCTTGGAGCATACTTGACAGGACATGTTGTTCTTTGATCACCTTTGCCCTGCATGGGCCTTCAAGTCATCCATCAGCACTAGTGCTCGCCTGGGCTGGAAAGGCTAGG